CTGCTGTGTTCATCCAGCTCTACACCTTGTTTTCTCAGATTCTCCAGCATCGGCAGTTCCTACTATCACCGGGATCTACTGACAACCGTCCTTCCTTTGTATATATGCTAAACAGCTTAGATGCAAGTAAAATGAGCCAAGTATCTCTTTGCTGAGGGGCAAAGTGCAAAAAGGCAAGGCAATGCAATCAGTGCTGCTCTGAGCTTCCAGGTACAGACAGAGTGAGCGAGCATTATAAAAGTAAGCAAACAGCCTGAAGATTCGACCAGGTCCAGTCCATGATTCAGGTGCGTGTCCCTGACAGCACAGTGTCTTTGTGGCAGCATTACAATTCTAGTTGCTGGTACAGCATTGTTAGGGTGAACTATAGATCTTCAAGCAGTCAGAAAGAGCTAGAAAGATGAATATGTAGGCAAATCTCAGAGAATTGTTAAAAAGGCAGGGTAATAATAGTGGATTTCAAGTTCTCCAAGCTTAACTGGAATAGACAAAGTATGAAAGGCTTTGAGGGGGCTGAATTCTTAAGATGTGTCCAGGAGAGCTTTTTAAGCCAGCATGTAGACGGTTCTACAAGACAGGGGTGGTGCTGGACTTAGTTTCAAGGAATTAAGAGTGAAAAAGGTTATCTAAGATTACAAAGGGATCTTGATCAATTGGGCCAATGGGCTGAGGATAGATGGAGTTTAGTTTGGATAAATATGAGGTATTTCATTTTGACAAAATGAACAAGGGCAGAACAATTATGGTAGGGCCCTGGATAGTGTTGTTGAACAGAGAGACCTAGGGGTTCAGGTACATAGTTCTTTGAAGGTTATGTCACACGTAGATAGGGTGGTTAAGAAAGCGTTTAGCACACTTGACTTCATTACTCCGACTATTGAGTATAGGAGTTCAGATGTCACGTTGAGGCTGTACATGTTGTTGTTGAGGCCACTTTTGGAGTACTGTGTACAGTTCTGGTCGCCCTGCTATATGAAGAACGTTACTAAATTGGAGAGGGTTCAGAAAACATTTACCAGGATGCTGTTAGCACTGGAGGGTTTGAGTTATAAGGAGAGGCTGGATAGGCTGGGACTTTTTTCACTGGAGCCTAGGAGGTTGAGGGATGACCTTATAGAGGTTTATAAAATCGTAAGGCACAGATAAGGTGAATAGTAAAGGTCTTTTCCAGGGATCTGAGGGGCAACTTTATCGCACAGAGGGTGGTTTGTATGTGAAATGAACTGCCAGTGGAAGTGGTAGATGCAGGTACAGTTACAACATTTAAAAGACATTTGGGCAGGTACATGAATAGAAAAAGTCTAGAGGGATAGCGGCCAGCTGCAGGTAAGTAGGACTAGTTTAGTTTGGGAAATTTGATCAGCATGGACGAGTTGGACCAAAGGGTCTGTTTCCGTGCTGAATGACTCTACGAAGCCTGGCAAGTAGTAGATGAGGCAGTGGGGGAGCAGTTCTGTGATAAAACCATAAATTGGTCAGATTTAAGGTATTTATGGATATGGATAAGGACAAAGGCGGGCCAGAAATAAACACCCTACATTGAGGGAACGTGGATTTTAATAAGACAGGAACTCTCCAAAATGGACTGGGAGCAGACACTTGCACGAAAATCCACATTACAGCAGCAGAACACATTCTAAAGGGCAATAGTGTGAGTGCAGGGCCAACATAAAGGTGAAGATGGGACCAACAAATCCAGAGAACCCTGGATACCAAAGGATGCACAGGATTGGATACTGGAAAAAAAGGGACGCTTACAGTAGCCACCAAAATCTCCAAACAGCAGATAGCTGAAAGGAATATAGAAAATGCAGGGGATTGTTTAATTAGGAGAGCAAAGAGGAGACTTGAAAAACACTAAAGGGTGACATTAAGTAAAATCCAAAGTATATTAGGGCAAGAGGAGAGGCAGAGAAAAAGCAGATCCCATGAGGGACAAAAGTGGCAATGTGTGCAGGAGCCAGAAGATGTAACTGAGATTTTAAATGATTATGCTGCATCTGTATTCACTGTAGAGAAGGACGAAGTAGGCATGGAAATCAGGAGAGGGGCTAAAATATAATTGAATAGAGTAACATTGAGTGAGAGGAAGTATTGTCAGTTCAGCAGGCTTGAAAATGGAGAAATCCCCAGGCCCAAATGAAATATATTCCAGTTGCTGTGGGAGGCGAGGGAGAAAATTGCATGGATCCTGACATTAATTTTCAAATTGTTTCTGTCCACAGGTAGTGTGTCTGAGGACTGGAGCTCATCTAATATGGTACCGTTATTCAAAAAGGGTGATAGGGAATAAACAGGAAACTACGAACTAATGAGCCTAACATTTATGGTTGAGATGCTGTTAAAATAATTCTGAGGGAGAGAATTAATCCCACTCGGAGATTCAGGGATTAATCAAGGGTAGTCAGCATGGCTTTGTAAGGGAGAGATCGTGTCTAACAAATTTGATTGATTTTTTTTCCGAGGTGACTAGGTGCGTAGATTAGATACTGCGGTTGTTGTGGTTTACGTGGACTTCAGTAAGGCTTTTGACAAGGTCTCATTCGTAGGCTAGTTTAAGAAGCTAAGATCCCATGGGATCCAGGGGAAATTGGCAAACTGGAACAAAAATTGGCTTTGTGGCAGGAAGCAGAAGGTGATGGTCGAAGGGTGTTTTTTTAGAAACCTATGTCCAGTGATGTACCACTGGTTTTCTGTTGTGTACATTAATGATCAAGACATGAATGTATGATCAGTAAGTTTGTAGAAAATAGGTGATATGATAAATTGTGAGAAGGAATGCCTTAGATTACAGAAAGATATAGACGGACTGGTCAAATAGGCTGATGAGTGGCAAATGCAATTTAATCCTGAAAAGTGTGAGCTGATGCATTAGAGGGACCTATCCATCGATCCTTGAAGGCAGCAGGACAAGTAGTTAAGAAGGCATACGGCAACTTGACTTTAAGAGTCAAGGCATTGAACACAACAACGACAAGGTTATGACAGAACCATAAACAATGTTAGTTAGGTCACAGTTGGAGTACTGTGTTCTGATTGCCACACTATAGGAAGGATGTAATTATAAGAACGATGTAACGCACTAGAAAGGGTGCAAAGGAGATTCACCCGGATGTTGCCTGGGCTGATGCAATTCAACTACGATAAGAGACCACATAGGCTGAAGGGGGGTGGTGGTTATCCTTAAGGTGCCATGAAAGCTCAATGGTTAGCACTGCTGCCTCATAGCACCAGGGTTCAATTCCACCCTTGGGTGAGCGTCTGTGTGGAGTTTTCACATTCTCTGCAAGTCTGTGTGGGTTTCCTCCCACTGTCCAAAGATGTGCAGGTTAGGTGGATTGGCAATACTAAATTGCCCATGATGTACAGGCTAGGTAGATTAACCATGGGATATATAGGACAGGGGGTTGGGTTTGGGTGGGATACTATTCACAGGGTTGGTGTAACACCATGGGCCAAAAGGCCTGCTTCCATGTTGTAGGAGTTCTATAATTCTTAGAGCAGAAAAGGCTGAGGGGGATCTAATTGATGTGTAAAAAGCTCTGAGGAGGGTAGACAGGGAGAAACAGTTTCCCTTAGTAGAGGGGCCAATAACCACAGTGTGGAGTTTTAGAAGGGATTTGAGGAAATAGCTTGAAACCCAAAGGGTTGGGGGTATCTGGAACACTCTGGTTGGCACGGTGGTCAAGGTGGGAACCCTTGGAACATTTGAGAACTTTGAATGCTGAAATACCATAGTATACAAGGTTATGGGCCAAGTGGTGGCAAATGGTATTAGGATGGATATTTGATGACTGATCTGGACAATGGGTTGAAGGTGCTCTTTTTGTGCTGTTAAAGTTGACATTTCAGAAGGGGACCTTCTGGTTCAGAGATGGGAACACTACCAAGATGCCAGACACCTTGAACTTCATATTTGGACTCTTAAGGGCTGATTTGATAATAAAACATGTGTGGATCAGATAGACTAATGAGACGTTTAGAGACGTTATTGCGCACCTCAAGTAGGTAGGACTTGAACTAAAACGTCCTGGTCCAGAGGCAGGGGCATTACCACCGTTGCAAAAATCGTAAACTTATAGTTGGTTTCTAAAGAGTTGATTTGATAGTGAAATTGGCGATTGCATGGAATTCCACATACAAACACAGGTTAGGCTTGGGGACCGCTTTGCAGAACACCTACACTCAGTTCGCAACAAACAACTACACGTCCCAGTCGCGAACCACTTCAACCTCCCCCCCTCCCACTCCTTGGACGACATGTCCATCCTGGGCCTCCTGCTTTGCCACAATGATGCCACCCGAAAGCTGCAGGAACAGCATCTCATATTCCCCTTGGGAACCCTGCAGCCCAATGGTATCAATGTGGACTTCACAAGCTTCAAAATCTCCCCTCCCCCTACCGCATCCCAAAACCAGCCCAGCTCATCCCCGCCTCCCTAACCTGTCCTTCCTCCCACCTATCCCCTCCTCTCACCTCAAGTCCCAACCCCATCTCCTACCTACTAACCTCATCCTGTCCCCTTGACCTGTCCGTCCTCCCTAGACTGACCTATCCCCTCCCTAACTCCCCACCTACACTCACCTTTACTGGCTCCATCCCCGCCTCTTTGACCTGTCTGTCTCCTCTCCACCTATCTTCTCCTCTATCTATCTTCTATCCCCTCTCTCCCTATTTATTTCAGAATCCCCTTCCCCTCCCCCATTTCTGAAGAAGGGTCTCGACCCGAAACGTCAGCTTTCCTGCTCCTCTGATGCTGCTTGTCCTGCTGTGTTCATCCAGCTCTACACCTTGTTATCTCAGATTTTCCAACATCGGCAGTTCCTACTATCTCGTTAACCAACGTATGCCAACCACAGCCGCACCACGTGACCTACCGTCGCACCAATCCACGCCGACGACCTGGACATTATGTCACCCCGGTCGCGACATCACCCTGCCTCTAGCCCGGCCCCTCGATACCATGACGTCACTTCCCGCCTGCCCATGCCTTAAATAGGAGCTCCGCGCTTTGGTCCATCCCGTTCGGTGGCAGACCCACTCTGTGTGGATCATGTCGCGGCAGTGTGATCAGCGGCTACAGCGCTGACTCATCGCACGTACACAAAAAAAGACTCATTGTTTTGCCACATACAGCACTGAAAAACAAAAACTTCTACTTTATTTTTGGCTCTGTTTTTTTCCCCCCCCCTCCCTTCCCAACCACTCCATAAAATCCCAAAGGAAAGAGGGAATTGCTTGTACGAGAGAAGCGAGCGAGGAGAAGGAGAAAAAAAACAGAATTTTCTTTTGTCGAGCAAATTTATTAGAAAAAAAACTTCCGAGAGGGGAAAAATTTCCTCCAATGTACGTTTTGGGTACCTGGGCCGAGATGAAGCCAGAAATCAGCGCGGCGGTGGGATTTATTTGCAAGCTCCTTCGGACAAAGGCGACAGTGGACGAGCGGCAGTTACAGACTTTCTGTCAGTCTCTACAGGACCTGCTGGCGGGTAAGTGGCGACGGCACCACCCGCCCCCCTCATTCCCCTCCCCTCGAGAGGGAAAAGAAAATGGAACGTTGGCCCGGGAGCTCGCGCCGCTTTCCAACCGTCCCCGCTCCATTGTCCCGCTGCGCGAGCGCACGCGGCTGCTTCATCCCTCGGGTGTAAACTCCTTTTGTCGATCTTACATCATTGCCTCCCCGTCTGTCATTTGTGTTTTTCTATATTAAAAAAAAAATGCCACGCAGTCAATGCAAAATGCCCTTCCGGGTGCGTTTAAAACCAGCTAATCGCACGAATTTGAAACTAACTTGTTACCGAGAGCGCTTCAACGAATTGTGAGCTCAAACTTTTGGGAACCCTACTTTCACCACCATCCCCACTCCTCCATCTCTCGCTCTTATTTCTTTTATGGATTCATCTGACACGGTGCTTTTTTTTTTTCTTTTCAATTTCCTTGCTTCCCACAGAGCACTATCAACACCACTGGTTCCCTGACAAACCGTGCAAAGGCTCCGGGTACCGGTGTATCCGGATCAACCACAAAATGGATCCCATCATCTGGAAGGCGGCGAACCGGATCGGACTGAGCGACCAGCAGGTCTTCCAGCTGCTGCCGAGCGAGCTCACCCTCTGGGTCGACCCTTACGAGGTCTCGTACCGGATCGGCGAGGACGGCTCGATTTGCGTGCTGTACGAGGCTCACCCCGGCGCACACGGCCCACGCCGCCATCACCACCACCACCACCACCACCGCCTCGGCGCCGGCTCTCCCCCTCTGCCCTCCTTGGACGGCAGTCGGATCAGCTGCAAGGACGAGCTGCTGCTGGGCAGGACCAGCCCTTCCAAAACCTACAACATGATGACCGTGTCCAGCTAGTGGCGAAAGGAGGGAAATTTAAAAAAAACACTTACAACCCTCCCCCTCCCCACTCTCTTTCTCTTTCCAAAAAAAATTCAAAATCTGCACTGGAAAGAAAAATGGGTTTGTTTAGGTGGGGGGCGGTGGGGGTGTAGGTGTTGCTCTGGATGGAATGGGGGGGGGGCAGGGTGGAAAAGAAAGGAAGGCGCCTTTATTATTTGGGACCCACACTGGGCTTTAAGGATCGGTTGTCTCTCCTAAATGTTAAGGAAGAGGGTAATGTAGCTCTCACACAGGCTGTGTGGCATTCAGGGAAAAAAGTCACATCTCATTTCCAGCAATGTACCAAATCCAAACCAAAATTATATATTTTGGGGAAGCGAAAACTGCCAGCTGTTTATCGCGTTTTACTTATTCCTCAAAGCAGTATTTTGACACTTGGCAAATTTGTCTTTTGTATTTAAAAACAAATTAAGAATATGGTGAAATCTCTTGGAACTGGGTTTAAACAGCCTTTGTAGAGCTACAAGAGCACTGCTCTTTAACATTTGACTAACCTACTTTGAAATAGCTATATCTGTACATTGCTAGCCTAGGGTTTTTCTAAAGTGCCGTCTTTCATTTTTAGCACTGTTCAGTGAAGTGGGTGCGGACTGTAGTTTCTCCTCTACCGTGATCAGGTAGCTTCACAAATGTTTGATTTGTGAATTCTGTTGACCATCTCTTGCTATTTGATAAATTATGAACTGCTGTAAATTTGTACAGTTCATGTATATTGATTGTGGCAAAAGTTGTACAGATTTCTATTTTGGAAGAGAAATTTTCTTCTCAATTATAATAAAACATTTCCTATCTTGCCATTTTAACGAGGACAAAAGTTGCCTTCCGTGTTTGGTTTTGGTTGGGGATTGTTTACAATTCCTTTGTCCAGTTGCACAAGTATTCAGCATTGAAATTCTAAAATTGGCCTTAAAAGAGGAAGTGAAAAGTTCATCTGAATGTCTGAACACAAATCTACAACAAATCCAATGTTTCAAAACAATATGTGGAAATTACAGAACCTTTTGCAGCTGCAGTCAGTTAAAATTTTTGTAGAATGTCAAGTGTCAAACAATGTCAAGATGTACAGATACACAGTTTGGCAAGAACACATTTCGAATGTCGAGGGGAAAAACATTAAAAATAATGAAAGTCAGTGTTTCCTTTTTCTCTTCATCCTTTTGGGAATTTAGCTCTTTTTACCCATCTGCCCACACCAGCAAATCATCAGAATATGACCAGACAAGTCCCAATGAGCTTCTGATTGCTTGTTATTAGTGTAGGTGTGAAGAACAGTGTGTGGTAAAATGTACAACAAGTCTTGACGTGTCAGATCAAGTTGAAGTTTCCTGAAGAACCAGAAAAGGAGTAATTATTTATTAGCTGTGGCTAGCTTGCATATGCAATCCCTAGCCCCCACATCCCTTTCAACATTTGATGCATTGAGTCATTGTACCTCTGAAAAGTATTTCCAACCTTGGAGTAACAACAGGTACAAGGTATGCCATTTAAAATAGGAGTCTGACTTCCTCACCTTGGGTATTGCTGATCTGGCACTGTGGCACAATCATTTTGGCAATGTTTGCCCCCCACCATTCTTCTGGGACTTAAATGGAGATTGAACCCCTTATTTCAGTCCAGACTGGATCTTGAGCAGCTGATCAACATTCATCCAAGCTCCTGCTGTTAACAGTGACAGCTATGGTAAGTCCTGAAGCCATTTTGTATCTCTTAAAGGGATGTTAGCAACAGAGATTTGTTGTACAGGAGAACCTAGTTTTCTAATAAACCTGTTGTGCAACGTGAAGTGCCTCTTTAAAATACTATGCATTAAAAAGTACAAAGATTAATTTTCTTTAAGGTAAATACACCAGCCATGTTAAGAGGGTTTCCATTTGTGGAGTGGAGTAAAACTCACTTGAATATTTTATCTTGTGAATAAGTTCAACAGCTTCTCATATGGAATACACTTTTGCAATGTTTGGCAGAATTATCAACATGTATTCCTTTAATTCTTCCCAATAGTGTAATTCATTTCCTTTCTTGATAATTTTGAGTGCCCTTTTAATAATGGGAGACTATTCTATTTAAAAGCAGTTGTCAAATTTTCATAGTTTTTTTTTGAAGGTAGTTGGGAATGTGAATATATTTAATGAACATTGCAGGTTGACAACCCTGCTGATTAGTTGTTGTCCTAGTTAAATGAGCATTGACTTAAGATATTTTGTAAACTTCTTTGTCCGTTTACAAACAAGCTTTTAAATTTGCATGTAATTTGTCTCAAATGCATCTGCTGTGAGGAGAATTGCAAGACTTCTTTCACAAGACAAAATAGATTGCTAGAGACACTTTTTTCTTAAGACAGTGGCTGCTCAGCATTGATCAAAGGAGCAGTGTTGGCTTAGATACATGGAATTGGAAAAGAGGACAATTACTGGTTCAGTTGCTATCTTTAGCAAAACCTGAACTAACTGAACACATGGATATAATTTGAAATTCTGGGTGAAGGCAAGAAAGAGGTGGAAACTATTTTCTTAGACCCACTATTCATGATTGGAAGGGTGAAGTATTTCTGAAGTTGCTGGGTGGCACAAAAGCAAAATGAAAATGATTTAATTGTCACTAGGGTAACAAACTTAGTGCTCTCGTTTTGTGGCACTTGATTTCATGATATGGCTTCAGAGGGTTTTTAATTTCACACTGGTATATTGCTGGGGATGGCTATTTAAAAGAAAGGTGATGGCAGAGGTTAGCAAATCCATGGATTTCTGTGCATTAGTTCCAGTTGTCTGAATTGCTTGACAATACTTGTCTAAGACTTGTGCTTCAAAGAAAGGTTAGAGATGCATTCTATTGAGTAGAATGCATGATGGGACTCTCATTCCTATTGTTAAATACATTGCATAGACATCAGCTTCATGTAGTGTTCCAAGTTGGCGTTGGGATACAAGCAAGAATAAGAGTTTGTATGGTGCCTTTTAGTGCATACAAGACATTTTCAAGCACTTTTACAGCCAGTTTATGCACAGTAGTCTCAATCAGCATTGTTTAAATACAAGTCTCCAAAATCATGGGATCCAGCTGAAATGTCTCCACTAAATTAAGTTTTCAGCAAGTTTGTTCAATGATTTCAAATCCATTGAATATACCAGACCTCCATTGTTTGGCCACAGCAGTTCCATGACACATTATGATTGGATCAGCTGTTTCTAGACATTTTAAGTTTAAGTATTGGTTGGAATATGCCACTGCTGTGAGGTCTAGCATATTCACCTGGGGTCACCCAGCAGTCTCCATATAATGTCAGTTTTACAAGAGGGTAGTCCTGACTGTAGCATTCCCTTAATATCATGCTGACGTTAGCCTAATCTTTGAAACAGGAGGTGAGAGTGCTCTACCTTGTCCAAGAACGATTTGAAATATTTTGGAAGTATGTATAACAACAATGGGGCAGCTGACTCCTTTCCTTTTCAGGGTGAAAGGAGACATGAAGCACTAAGAATACACATAAATAGAGGAGTGAGATTGCACCATCTACGAGAACGTCTTCACTGGACACGTAATAGAACTGCTGTGGCCATATAGAGTGGAATGCTGCTATATTCAATAAATTTTTCCAAAGTAGTGGAACAAACATTAATCTGTTAACAATTGGGTTTTAGCTTCTTAAATGAATGGAGAAAGATATTTCAGCTGGATCATATGATTTTGGGGACTTGTGTTTAAAGAATTGATCTTCATTATCATTGGTCAAGGAGGATAAGTTTCTGGAACAGACATGGTACCTTGCCAGGTGCTAATACAATCTGATAGAGTTTGAAGAATGCTGAATTGAGGAATGCAGCAACAATATCTTGGAAGGAATGATGAGTTGAGGGTGGCTGTCCAGAGGAAACCTTTTCCAGTGGAGGAAAAGTCTGTGGCTTTATTCAATCACAGAGCAATTTCTGAGAAGAGAAAGCTATGACCAGCCTTGGCGCAAGAACAAATGTTTGTGACTTGTTCAAGAATACACTGTCAGATTTGTCATAAAATCTATGGAGATGATTCACCACAGGAAAATGTTTAATACTTCGAGAATTCATGAGCTACATCGTCACTTCCTCTCATCCCCCCATCCCAAACGCCACCCCAACAATTTCATAAATTCTCCCCAGCAGCTACCTCTTGACTCAAATCTTTCAATTTGCAGCCAGCTTTGCATGTTCCACCCTCTCTAAACTCATTCAACCAACACTCTGCTGTTTATCTGAACTTTTACAGTGAGTACGTCAGCCCTGATTGTCTGGAAAAACCCATCTGGTTCACTGTCCATTTAAGTGACTAAAACTACTATCCTTACCTGGTTTAGCCTATGTGCGACTTCGGACACAATGTTCTGGACTCTCAAGTGCCCTCCAGGCAATTAGGGATGGGCAATGAATGCTGATCTAGCCAGAGATGCTTATGTCTTGTGAAATGAGAAACAAACTTAGAAGAAATTTTATGTTTAAATCCCTCCAACAGCCTTGTTCCTCTCTCCCTGTAAGCTATCTCCACCCTCTCCCCTCTGAGAACTCTGTGCTCCTCCCAACTTTTCCTTTTGTTTTTACATCCCTAAATTCCTGAGCACCACCTTTTTGGGTACTGCCTTGTTATTTAGGCCCTTGACTCTGAAATTTGCTCAAAATAAACATCACCATTTTGATTCCTGTCTCTTCCTGTATGACACTCCTTAAAACCACTTGTGAATAATCTTCTGGTCACCTCTCCAAATAATTTTGACGCCATATCAGATTTCTGACTTTTGCCACTGAGAATGTGGAACATATCACTAAATTAGGCATGGTTTAGATGCAAGTTTTTAGTGAAAAAGTGTTTATCAAATGCTTAAGATCATATTTCCTGGTAGAAGACTTTAACCAGATTTTTGAAGCAAAATCACTAATGATGAGCAATTGAAGAGAAACTCTACCTTCACTATTTGTGCTACAAAACTTAACTTTGCTAATGGAAGGATGACCATACTCTCCTTTTGCATTATTATGCAAAAGGACAAAGAACAAGAGTAGAAGTTCTGAATTAGGAGAACGAAAACTTTACAAAATTGAGGGGTGATCTGGCAAAACCAGACTGGAAGGAAAATCAGAAATATTCAAAAGTGATTCTACAGGCACAGTGTATACATAAACCCCACAAAGAATGAGGGTGGTACTGACAAATCTAGAATCCTCTGGTTGTACAGAAACATACAGGGTAAGATGATGTAGAAAAAGAAAGCTGACCTTCATGAAAAGAAACTTTAAATTCATGGAAAACCTAGGAGTATAGAAAATGCAATCATGCAGTAAAATAAAATTGGAAAAGCATAGAAACATTATGAAAAATATTGGTAGGTAAAATGGATGAAAACCCAACAATATTTATCCTGTTTCTCAACATATTAATAAAATAATGAAAGGGTAGGGCCTAATGTACAAAACACCCTATAGTTTGCATGTTGAATGCAGATGAAATGGGCAGAGTTCTTGGTGAATACTATATCCCTTTCCTTTGTTAAGGCAATGCAGACAGTCTAGTCAAGGAGTATGAAATATTAGATACAACAACCATGATGCGAGAGGAGTACTTGTAGGGCTGACTGTCTCGAAGTTGGGTAAATCACTGCAGCCCCATAGATTGCATCCCAGGTTGTTGAATGTAGTCTGGGGAGAAATAGCATATGCTCTGATCATTTTCCAATCTTTACTACAATTTGGCAAAGTACCAGTGGATTGGAGGCCTGTGAATGTTGTGCAAGGGATAGGCCAAGTAACTATATGTTGGTTAGTCTGACTTTGGTGGAAAAACTCAATCAAT